GAGTCCGGTACGGGCATGCAATGGCCATTTCATTGACTGAGAGATCGAAATAGTTATGGAGACCAAGCCCGAATCACAGACTAAAGCTAAGAAACTGAAATATTGTTGTCTATACTAACTTGATATAGTATGTCGATAGACTACATGCTTCTTGCGGCAATATAATGGAGAACGGTCTAGACAGGTTACCAATGGACATGGTGTGGTTGTCAACAGAACCCAGTGTCTCCCAGTGAAAGATATAAAACTACATAGTCACTATCACTTGCCGGCCAACCCTATGTGTGCTTAGGATGAGATATGCTAGTGTCATACTGCTTGTCTCTTGTTTGATAACACAGACTTTTCCTATGGTATAAAGCTATGGGCAATGTAAAGTTTATGGCAAATGATATAGGCACCGGTGTGCCAATGGGCGGGCCTATACAGCCTTATTGCAATCAAAATTGATATTGATGGCTTTTCTGAAAAGTTAAAGATTGAAATCGAGACCGCGAATTATGCCGGTCTTGAACATGATTGGTCCCAGTTAATTGGTGGGTTGGCAGTTATTCGCCGAATATTGAGTATCAGAGGTAGAATTTGTTAAAACATCATTGTAAAAAGACTGCCATCCATGACAAGAGAGTGTTAGAGTGCCAATCCTGGATATTACCAACTCAGCTTTGTCGAACTCGCATATGGTGAAGTAACTTTGGAAGATTTCTCTCTCCGTCACTGACAAACGCACCAAATAGGTCCACGGGTTGAAGCATGTTGCCTTTGGGATAAAGACTCCGAAGGGATGGCAAAATGGAAGATTGATTATAGAAATACAAGGACTAAGAGAATCAAGATATCATTCTGTTACTATTCTGAAGGTAGAGCTTGAGATTGGCCCGGTATGCAAATCAATGGGGAAAAAATGAGAAACCCTTTGCGCCACCCATTCGCCTAGTACAAGAGCATAATAAAAGGAGAAAAATAAAATATTGGCCATGCCAGGCTTGCTCTCAACGAGCAAAGCCACAAAATATCCGAATCCATATGCAGTATCAAAAGAGGACCACACTCTACCGCATGCCGCTTTGCATCAATTGCTGGCGTAACAGCATAATCTGGCTTCTTTCCATAGGAGGCAAAGCATCAATAGAAGCCTGGGGCATGCTAAGGACTTGCTGGAGGAGCTCCTCCTGGCCGTGCATCGGGGCGGCAGGTTGAACCGGGGGAGGGGCGAAAGGAGTGCCGGTGACAGGCGGTGTAGAGATTTGGCCAGGGATACCGTACTGTTGGAATTGTTGAGGGGTTTGCTGTTGAGGAACTTGGGGAGGCTGGGCAGCCTGTTCGACGATGGAACCAAGCAGCTGGTATTCGACCAGATTCATGAGGAGTAGAGCCTGGAATACGGCATAGGCGAGCTGAGGCGCTTGGCGCAGCAGCTCAGTGGCACGCGCCGGGTCGGCAACCGCGAGCGATTTCATTTGTGTCAGAACATCGAGCAATTGATTTGGTGGGAGGGATGCGAGAGTGTGAGAGATGGCGTTGGGGCAGTCGATTTGGGGCGGGAGTTCCACGCCTGGGGGGAGAGGAGGCAGCGGCGCTGACCCTTGGATCGGTTGCTGCTGTGTGGGATCTTGATTCATCATTGGTTGCGACTGCTGCGAGTAATCTGGGGGTACGGAATCCTTCTCGTTGTTGTGAGGCCAATCAACACGGATCTTGCGGCCCATGACTTCGTGATCATTGAGGTTGCGCACCGCCGAGGCGGCGGCGTCAGCATCCGCAAAATCTGCGAATCCATAACCTTTGGGTTTGCCAGTCTCCGGGTTCATCATCAATCGGAACTTGGTAACGGTACCGGCTGTGCTGAGGATGTCTTTGACTTGTTCCTCGGTGAGATCTACAGAAATATTAGAATCGTGTAGGTTAGACAGACAGCTGCAGCAACATACTGTAGGGGATATTCCCCAGAAATACACTCTTCCCAGTCCGATCGGGCGCCATGATTGTGATAGGAAATGAAATGCGAGTGAGAGAGACAAAGAAGTCGAGGCAAGCAAAGAAACGCTGATTCTGCCCGACTTTCTCCCACCGCCCGCAACCTCACCTCATCCGCTCAAGCATCATACCAAGTTAGTCTTCATCCATCTCCAATCCTATCCGCGCACTACCTCACATCATGTCTCAAAATCAACGGGAGGCTTGGGAGCGCCTGCAAGTTATGCTGTCGAAGCGCAAGGCCGGCTTCGGTGGCGGCTTCCCATCCGGTGGTGGCCGAGGAGGCATGGGCCTTGTCGGAACTCTTGTTCTGGCCGGTATTGGCACCTACGTTGCGTCAAATGCTTTGTTTAACGGTATGTTAAGCTCGTTTACTCAGGGAATCAAGCTTCTAACTAGTTTTTAGTCGACGGTGGTCACCGTGCCATCAAATACTCGCGCTTAGGTGGTGTCCAGAAGGAGATCTACAACGAAGGTATGAAAACTCACTAACCGAACCAAGGAGCTCTCTCTCACATTTGGACGATTTTAGGAACTCACTTCCAAATCCCCTGGTTCGAAACACCCATCATCTATGATGTCCGCGCCAAACCTCGCAGCATCCCTTCTCTTACCGGTACCAAGGACTTGCAAATGGTGAACATCACCTGCCGTGTCCTATCCAGACCCCGTGTGGATGCTCTCCCCCAGATCTACCGAACTCTCGGCCAAGATTTCGATGAGCGTGTTCTGCCTTCCATCGTCAACGAGGTGCTCAAGAGTGTTGTTGCCCAGTTCAACGCCAGCCAGTTGATCACACAGCGTGAGAACGTTGCCCGTCTGGTGCGCGACAACCTGGCTCGCCGGGCTGCCCGTTTCAACATTGCTCTGGACGATGTTTCCTTGACAGTACGTATCTCCTTTGGCCCCTGCTAGCGCAAACAGCTTCTAACACAATATCTCCACACAGCACTTGACCTTCTCCCCCGAGTTCACAGCCGCAGTTGAGGCCAAGCAGGTCGCACAGCAAGACGCTCAGCGTGCTGCATTCATGGTCGACAAGGCCCGCCAAGAGAAGCAGGCCTTCATTGTCCGCGCACAAGGTGAGGCCCGCTCCGCCGAGCTCATTGGTGACGCCATCAAGAAGAGCAAGAGTTACATCGAGCTCCGCAAGATCGAAAATGCCCGTCACATCGCTCAGATCATCCACGAGAGCGGTGGCAAGAACAAGCTCTACCTTGACAGCCAAGGATTGGGCCTCAATGTCAACGCCCACAGCGAGGAGGGCAAATAAATTCATTCCGCTTGATACTTAATGGCGCTGCTGGAGGGATGTGAATTATTGTACAAATAGCTGGATTACCAAGCATCTGAATGTGGTCTCTTCTCTTTTTTTCCCAAAGTTTCTTCATAGTAAATTTTCATAAGTGGTAGCTGTAGACCTCCAGGGCTCATATATATTTTCTCCATGCGGGGACGAAGGCGGCGAGACGATTTTTCTGATTCGGAGGGGCACCACCTTCAGTCGATAACAGTTCAACACACTTGACTAGCATTAACTAGCAAGTATCACATTTAATCCGTGAGTATCAGTTGAATAAACCCCCCAAATTCAATTTTCTTGTAAATAATTATTCGTGAACCCCCACTAACAGCACCCAGATCATGCCCGAAGTTATTGACGATACCGCAGTGCACCTCACAGAGGTCGACATCGACCTTGACGTGCAAGAGATCCTCCTCGCTGCATCGCAACATGACCAGTCCAAGCTGCGCCAGCTCCTCCGCAGCCAGTCCATGCTGCCAGACGCCGCAAACGTGAAAGATACTGAGACCGGCTTCTCACCTCTGCACGCCGCAATCGCCGCCTGCGAGCCCGATACAGAGACCGTCGGCACCAATGGCGCAACCACAGAATCGAACCCCAACGGTCTGGACGCTGAGACCGTGAAATCAGCAGTGGAGACCGTCAAGTTCCTCCTGCAGGAGGGCGCTATCTGGAACGACCTCGACGCGAACAACGAGACACCCGGCTGTATCGCGCGCCGCATCGGCGCTCTCGATCTGTACGAGTTAATCGTCGACGCGGGTGTCCGCGCAGAGTTGCTACTCAACCGCCTCGACGCGTACGAAGAGCTATCCGATGATGATGACGAAGAGGAGGAAGCTGAGGCTGAAGCTGAAGCCGAGACCGCACCGGAACTCGTCGATGCCTCCGCCGAACCTACAACAGCAACAAGCACAGCCACCCCTGTCAACCCGGAAGTATCCAACTCGCAGTACCTGGAATCGCGTCTGAACATCTCGAACGACCGAATCCTGGACGCAGATCAGAACGGCGTGATGATGCGCTGGGAAAGCGACATCATGCGCAAGTCCGCGACAGCACTGCTCCCTACACCCGGGCTGAAAGTTCTGAACATCGGTCACGGGATGGGCATTGTGGATGGGTTCTTCCAGGAGCAAGGGCCGGCTGTGCACCACATTGTCGAAGCGCACGAGGAGGTCGTTACGGAGATGAAGCGACGCGGGTGGGATACTAAGCCCGGTGTTGTTATCCACCAGGGTCGTTGGCAGGATATTCTTCCTGGCCTTGTGGCGGCTGGGGAGACGTTCGATGCTATCTACTACGATACGTTTGCGGAGTCGTATGGTGATTTCCGGGACTTTTTCTCTGAGCAGGTCATTGGGTTGTTGGAGCAGGAGGGTCGGTGGGGATTCTTTAATGGCATGGGTGCTGATCGTCAGATCTCATATGATGTCTACCAGAAGGTAGCGGAGATGGATCTCTTCGAGGCTGGGTTTGATGTGCAGTGGGAGGAGATTGCTGTGCCCAAGTTGGATGGTGAATGGGAGGGTGTACGTCGGGCTTACTGGGTTGTGGATGATTATAGATTGCCCCTGTGCAAATTCATGGATTAAGGGAGATTTTGGATGATTTGATGGAAATGGGATATAAAGAAAAAGGACATTGGATGTCTATGACTGAATGAGACGCTTGAAAATGCTATAGAATGGCTAAAAGGAACAATGTACAAATGGTATCACAGTTGAATCAAATCCACCTCGGAGAAATCTGGAGGACTGCGACTGAAGATCGTCCGACACTTGCCGTCTAGCGCCTGGTACTCATTGCTAATCCAGACATGTTTGCTAAACCGTTGTGTTCGGTACACTTCATCATCACTGATACCCAGATCATCACGCGGAATCCAGATGACAGGCCGCTTGGCGCGAAGGGCCTCGTGCTGGAAGGCACGCTGCACCAGCTGGTCACGCTCATCGGGGGTAAGATCCTCTAATTCATCGTGAATACCAGCAAAGAGGGCTTGGCCAACTGTGTTGGGGGCTGGTCCCTGCGCCTCAGTGTCTTGGGCCATCTTTTCCCGCATGGTCCGTAGTGTCGGGGTGGAGGGTGTTGAGTTCTGACCGAAATACTTGGATTTCCGGTTTGATGAGTTGGAGGCCCATGAGGGACGTTTGTTCCCAAGCTTGGGGGTTGACAGGAGATCTGAATTCTGTCGCTTCTGGTCTGGGAGATTGGTCTCTAGAGGTTTCAGTTCGATGTCTTCTCGTATCTCCTTTCCGTGTTGGCGCTCTTCGTGTTCACGCTTAGCAAGGGTGTGTTCAATATCACCATCCTCGTCATCGTCATCGTCAAGAGCGAGGCCGAGGCGCGCGTGCTGAGCACGGCGGAACTCATCATCACGTCGAATAGCGTCATCTTCCAAAGTGATGGGCAGGTACCGGATCAGTGGACTGAACGCTTCGTTGAGAAGAATTTGGTAACCAGCCGTCAGGATTAGAACAACGATCATGCAGATAGCCTGTCCCTTGCAGGCGACCTCGTCATCTGCGTTCCGAACCAAGAAGAACAAGCCGATCAGGCAGACTTCCATCACGTAAATTCCAGTGAATAGCTGATTGATAGCTCGAGGGAAAAGAAGGCCACCAGTGTCAAAGCGGAACTTGGTGACGTAGAGTGTGTTATAGCGATATACGAACCAGAACAGGCCGAAGGTGATGATGTTGAAAATCAAAATCAGAGGTGCGATCACAGAGTAGATCAAACCTAGGAGAATGTTAGTCAACACATTCAATCAAAAATACGAGACGACGTACCAATAGAAGCTAGGGTGGTATAGACAGGGAAGAATGTGCCCCATTGCATCTGATTGAGGTTTGTTGTTCGTGCCCACTTCTTCCGGGCAGTAGAGTCCAGAATTGGAGCTAAAATGAACCAGCTCACCAAGCCAAAGATTTGCACAAGAGCACCAGCACTCACAGACATGGCTTGTAGGATCATGTAAGAGAAGAAGTAGTTACTAGACTTCGGGATGTTCACTGCTAGCATCTGCGGCCAACTGGTCACGTCAGCGACGTTCTCAATGATTGTTGAGAAACTGGAAGCGATGGTGACGACCAGGAACAGCTGTACAAAGAGGAAGGCAAAATAATAGTTCTGGACAGTGAGCTCGATGGACATGCCAGTGAAGAGGCCTTGTGTGCGGCTCAAGAAGCGAAGGATGAGAGGGAGTAGTGCCATCAGTATAGCTAAACACAGTGCAGGAAGGATACCCTGAATGGCTGAAATGAACCAGTCTGGGAGCTTGCCAAGCCAGGCAAGCCATGGGAATGCACCCTCCAGATATGCCAATTGCGACAATAGTCCAGTGAACGCGACGGGGAACGCCCATCCAACGACCATTGCACAGACTAGTGTGATGATGCCAAAGGAACGCAGGTATCGTTCCCACCATTTAATCGACATATTATCCCAGATGACGTCGTCAGGAGAGATTTCCACGACTCGTGGTGCCATCTGTTTGGGGAGGTGGTGACTGACAGCTTGGCAGGCCATGTGGGCGGCGACTTGGTGATTGAACTGGACGAAGGCTGAATTCATCAAAGGGAACTTTTCAGGGTGCTGTTGGTCGATTTCGATCTCCAGGTTCAGACGAGCGACCTCCTTGCGACAATAATCGATGGTATCGACCTTTTGGCCTAAAAGCCAAATCGAAGGCATCCAACTCCAACCAAATATGGGTAGACGCATGGTATCTCGGTCTTTGGGCCGGATGTATTCCTTCCACAGCGGCTCTCCGTAGTCTTCATTTTCGAAGTTTTCATTGTAGGCGATGGGGTATTCTTCCCCTTCTATTTTGTCCCCCTCCTTTCGATCATGTTCTTGTTTTTCGTTTTTGTTGGGTTCCTTCAAGTCATAACGGGGTGAATCTGTTGCAGGCGTTTCAGGTGCAGTCAGTGGATATTCGTCAGCCTCACGCACACCCTGCGATTTTGTATGAGACGACTTTCGTCTCCAAAATGGTGGCTTCGGCGAAGTCGTTGCGTCAGAACACAGAGTGTCATCCTGACCTGCACCCTGTCCGATTATCTGACCTGAATTGAAACTCAAGTGCTGACTTCGCCGCAGCCCTACGGGTCTATCGGGCTTTGTAGCAGGCTGGGTGTCAGAGGTAACAGGATCGGGGACCGGAGGGGTGTTTGCACGAGGCGGGAGGGTGTCTGAAGTTGCAGAATGATCGGGGCCTGGGGGGGTATTTGAACGAGCACGAGGCGGGACGATGTTGTCTGTAGTGGCAACGAAGCCCCCGGTTCGAGCTAGGGGCTTCTCAAAGCCGTGCTCAACCTTCTTGAAGCCTCCAAGCACTGTCTTGCCTAGTTTTCCCACCCCTTGGCCAACTGCCCCAGCGGCAGCAAAGGCAGGGTCAAACACTCGTCGAGGTCCGTCCTCCGACCGTTTCTCGTGGTGACCTTCCGGTTGTCCATAGAGCATTTCTCGTACCGTGTGGGCCTGATGAGGATTACCAGAGCTAACACCAGGACCCATGGCCATTTGGGAGGCCCGTTTGTCGGCCACCTTTTTCTCTTTTTTCTCTGCGCTTGATTGACTCTTGCCGGCTTTCTTTGCCTCCCCCTTGGCTTTTTTGAGCTGTGCCTTTTTGCATTTTGCAATCAGATCCGTCTCGGCACTCTCAAGCTTGAGAGCAAACTCGTTTCGTGCCTTTACTTTCTCGTTCAAGTCGTCAAAGTTGCGGTTGAGCCAGATGTTTCGCACGCCCCCAGGGAAGACATCGAAAAGCTTATCAAGGGCATCCATGTCGAGCCAATCAGGCGGGATAGAAGTAACGAGCACGGTGGTAGCAGAAGCACGGAGTCGATGCTGGGGAGACGTCAAATAGGCTTGTCGCAGGCGAATGTAATTCCGAAGTTCATCAAAAAATACAGCACAGACGTAGACAATGGTAATCACGGCCATTATCAGATGAGCCCAGTACCGATTCGTGTGCTCGGGGGTTACGTTGCCCCAGGCTAGCTGATCCAGACCAGTGACGCTATACTTAGTGCCCGAGGTACCATTTTGGTATGTCTGACCCTTGCCACCAACACGGTTGATTGGGAGTAGAACCGGTAAGATCACGAGGCCCAGAGGAAGGAAGATCTTCAGAAGCATGCGCAAATAGCGCAGGAAAAAGTATGCATCTAGCCCACATTTCTGAATGAATTCCGAGCTGGAGGTACGAAATACTGGGACAATCCAACGGAAGAGTCCTGGGGGTGATGGGGTTGTGCGTTCTCTATCTGGTACCAAATAGGTTCGCGGTTGACTGGATATTCAATTTTAGTCAATTTCAGGTCCACATTCTCGTTCCCGGTGAAGTTTCAGGGGACTTACTATATTCGACTTAGTTTACCCTTTAGTAACAGAAAGAGGAGAAATTCAACGACGAAGACGACGATGGCCGTCGCCAGCGACGCCAGGAAAGTCGAGATTGAAACACCTTCAGCGGTTCGGCCGTGGCCACCAGTGTGTTCCAGCGCCTCCTCCAAGCCTGAAGGCATGGTGATCAGCTCGGCTATTGCCGAGGGGGAAAAAAGTAGGAGACTAGGGAAGCTAGGACGCTAAAAGGGGTGTCGAAGAAGCTGTCGCCGCAAGAAGCATAACGAGATTTCGTTGTAGGCACCGATAGAGGTTGAAAGTAATTACCTGTAGACCGGAGGGTTTGAAGAAGAAGGAGCTTGGTGATAAGAGAACAAAATCACAAAGAGAAATCCACTTAAACAGACTTCGCAAGGCGCCAACCTGATCAGCTGTGGGGATTGAGAGCCAATAATGTCGATCTTGGTCTTTGAATAATATCTTGATTAATGAGGTGAGTGGCGCGAGGACTGAGCTAGCGGTCTGATCAAGAAATTGGGATGTTGAGGAACAGGGATGATTGGAGAGATCGTGGGAGCGCCGATCGAGGATACAATGACATCAGGCGCTAAGTGAAACAACCAACTAAGTCACGGCGGCTTTAGGTGAAAGGAGAACAAATATTGCTTTATGTAACCTAACGCCGCAGCGTTTCATATTCTATATTTGTCACAAGGAACAGTACCATTTTTTTCATCTATGACACGTTGATACATAATAGATGCGAATGCCTACTACGGTAGTAGTGAAGCCTCTCCGAGCATTTGGTGGGGAAGAAAAAAAGGGAAAGAGCGGTGATTGGCCCGTAGGTTGAAGATGTGGCTGTGCATCATGTAATGATTCAAAATTCATCCGGGAACCAGCCACAGGGTCAGGAACTGCATGTGGCTAGTGTTAAAAACACGTCGTCCTAAAGAGGAAACCACTTAACGCGCCCGTCGCGTCCACGGTGGCAGAACCCGCGTTCCGCCCACAGCTTTTTGCTCTCCCTTTCTTCACTCGTATCCCCGTACCACCACCAACCCACCTGACCAACGTCTAGTATCAACACATCAATTCATATCCACCATGTCGTCACCAACACAAAGACGGAGGGGTCGTTCCTCCAAAAATTCAACTGCATCTCCTAGTTCTTCGTCCCGACAGGAGCCCCCTAGCAGCCCGACTTTTCAAGCCACTCCCCGTGCCTCGAGACGTCTAATGGCCGAGGGAGCCGCACCCTCTTCATCCCCCATCTTTTTCCAATCATCCCCGACCAAGGGAGATAACAATGCCGAGACTCCGGATGAACGCATGGCCGATGCCAGCTCAACGGTAGACGATGGCGACAGAACCCCGCGAGGCAATCCTGGTGTGAGAGGTATGGATTTTATTTTAGCAGAGCAGCACCTTTATTTTCAATATAGATACCTAACTGCCCACCAGACTCTTCTCCTATTCATTATATTCCCAGTTCTAGCCCAACTCGAGGTTTCGGTCGGTCTGATATCCGTTCCGACATCCGCTCCGATGCATTGAGCACCGCCAGCAGTGGATTATTTGTGTCACCAGGAGGCCAGGGCCGACGGGCAGGTCCTCGTCGCAGCGATTTGCACTCAGGTGGCTTTGGGTCTACTCCCAGTCGCCGTAATCGTGTGTTCGTTGATGCCAATGGAATGCCTACAGGTGATACCATGCCTCGCTCCGATGCCACTTTCTCAAATATCAACCCGGGCACCTCCGAGGCTGAGGCCATGGCCGGAAATTCCACTCGTGTGATCTGGGGTACCAACATCTCGATCCAGGATTCAATGTCGGCATTCAAGAACTTCCTGTATAATTTCGCCACAAAGTACCGCCTCTGGGCTGACGGTGCCACCGAGGACGAAACCAGACTTATGGGAGAATTAGCAGAGAGACATGAGTGCATCACCATGTGTAACAACATGCGACGACTCGGTGTGACCACTTTCAACCTCGATGCTGCTAACCTGAAGTCATACCCATTGACTCGCAAGCTGTGGCACCAACTTTCCGCATATCCGCAAGAAATCATCCCTCTGATGGATCAGGCTTTGAAGGATGTGATGGTGGATTTAGCCCTCAAGGAAATGGACGTTCTTCGGTCAGAGAGCCAACGCGCTGCTCAGCCTCGTGACCGACGTGGTCAGCCCATCCTCACCTCGGACAATGTGCTTCCGACTGTCGATGTGCCGGATCTGGTTGGGGAAGTGGAGGCGATGACATTCAAGGTGCTCCCATTCGGTTTAGATCGGACCGTGAACATGCGTGATCTCGACCCAGCCGATATGGATAAACTGGTCAGCATCAAGGGTTTGGTCATTCGTGCTACTCCCATCATCCCCGATATGAAGGAAGCTTTCTTCCGGTGCAGCGTATGCAGCTATGGTGTGCAGGTCGACATTGATCGTGGCAGAATTGCCGAGCCAACAGTCTGCCCTCGAGACTCTTGCAAAGAGAAGAACTCAATGCAGCTCCTTCACAACCGTTGCTCCTTCTCCGATAAGCAAGTCATCAAGCTCCAGGAGACTCCAGACAACATTCCTGATGGTCAGACCCCTCACTCGGTGTCTCTGTGTGTCTATGATGAGCTAGTCGATGTTTGCAAGGCCGGTGACCGTGTGGAGGTGACTGGTATCTTCCGGTGCAACCCCATGCGTGTTAGTGCTCGTCAGCGCTCGCAGAAGTCTCTCTTCAAGACGTACATCGATGTACTTCATGTGCAGAAGTTTGACCGTAAGAAGATGGGCATTGACATGTCCACAGTCGAGCAAGAAATGTCCGAGCAGGCCGCAGAGGCAGATCAGGCGCGCAAAGTCTCGGCCGAAGAAGAAGAAAAGATCAAGCGGACCGCCTCTCGCCCCGACATCTACGACCTGCTGTCTCGTTCCTTGGCTCCCAGCATCTACGAGATGGACGACGTGAAGAAGGGTATCTTGCTGCAAATGTTTGGAGGAACTAACAAGACCTTCCAAAAGGGAGGTAACCCACGCTACCGTGGTGACATTAACGTTCTTCTGTGTGGTGACCCCTCCACCTCCAAGTCCCAACTACTGCGCTATGTTCACAAGATCGCCCCTCGCGGTGTCTACACCAGTGGTAAGGGTTCGTCGGCTGTTGGTTTGACTGCCTACGTGACTCGTGACCCGGAGACTCGCCAAATGGTTCTAGAGTCCGGTGCCTTGGTTCTGTCCGATGGTGGTGTTTGCTGTATTGATGAGTTCGACAAGATGAACGATTCCACGCGCTCCGTCCTTCACGAAGTTATGGAACAGCAGACCGTCTCTATCGCTAAGGCGGGTATCATTACTACCCTGAACGCCCGAACATCCATCCTGGCCTCTGCCAACCCCATCGGCAGTAGGTATAACCCTAAACTCGCTGTTCCGCAGAACATTGATCTGCCACCCACTTTGCTCTCTCGTTTCGACCTGGTGTACTTGGTTCTTGACCGTGTCGACGAGACGGAAGATCGTCGCTTGGCCAAGCACTTGGTCGGCATGTACCTGGAGGACAACCCTGAGAATGCCAGCTCACAGGAGATTCTGGTAAGTAACCCTCCCCGTGTGCTCAATTAGAGAGATGTCTAACAGTTTTATCTAGCCTATCGAGTTCCTTACAGCCTACATTACATACGCCAAGACCAACTGCCACCCTGCGATCACCCCAGCTGCCGGTGCTGCACTCACCGATGCCTACGTGGCTATGCGCCAACTCGGTGATGACATCCGCGCCCAAGAGCGCCGTATCACTGCCACGACTCGACAGCTGGAATCAATGATCCGACTCTCCGAGGCGCACGCACGCATGCGTCTGTCCCCCGAGGTCACCGTCGGCGATGTGGAGGAAGCTGTGCGTCTGATCCGCTCCGCCATCAAGCAGGCCGCCACCGATGCCCGAACCGGTCTCATCGACATGGGCCTTCTGACCGAAGGTAGCAGCGCCGCTGACCGTCGTCTACGCGATGATCTGAAGAAGGCGGTGCTGTCCCGCCTTGATGAACGTGGTGGAGTGAGTGGTGGTGCAGTCCGCTGGACCGACCTATATCGCGATGTGAGCGAGCAGAGTGACAACAAACTTGACCACAACCAATTCGGTGATGCGGTGCGCTCGCTCGAGACGGAGGGCTCAGTGAATGTCTTCGGTGAGGGTGCTCGTCGCAGTATCCGCCGGGCGGCCATGAGCATGTCCTAGGTGGCTGCGATGATACCATGATGTGATGATAGATTAGGCAGGTGCATGTCATCTCTGACTGAGGGTGTTCTGGCGTTGGTGGTTTTATGGATAATGGTATGGGATGTGGTCCGAACTGTTGTATTGTAGATTGATCATAATATTTTCCAATCTCATGGATACCCCAAAGGTGCTAGCTTGGTTAGAAACTAAGACATGTAGAAAAAGTATACAATCACATGCGTCTAGCTAGACCCAACGAGCACAATGCCCCGGGTGGGGCTTGATCGTCCTGCAGATGGCGACTCATATCCCTGTCCTGTAACAAGCATTGAAAAAGAAATTGGCAAGCCTGTTTTTGAACTGGATTCTGTAATAATCTCTGGTTCAGTTTAATTGTACTTCTTAGTAACATAATAATGCACTAGAATAGCATAATCATAACGAGCAGTAGAAGAAAAGAGAGGTAAACACAGAGAGACAGAGACAGAGACAGAGAACCCTAGAGAGAGAGAGAGGCTAAGTGCCCACGTGCGCTGATGACTGGTCAGATAGTTAACGTCACCAAGGAGTGGAGGTATGGGGAATACGAAGTTACCATACGATAATTACCAAAATTACCAGAAGTACCAGAAGGACGATCTAGATCTCCATCATCATTCTCCTTATAATCACCAATATACAACATATTGAAGGAAATTGAAGCCCATTATACCTCAATATCACATTTAAACGCTATTTCTCAGCTATCTAACAAGTTAAAATCTTCGTTTCAAACGATCTAGATCATCTTGCATCGCCTTAACTCTTAACACCGCACCCACTTCGATGAGACGATGGGGCCGTCACCCGCTAGTCATCGGACTAGCCGAGTTCGGGGACCCATTCTAACCTCTTTGACCTTCTGTCTTCGGGAGAGCTAGAACCCTCCGAATTTGGCCTCCCTCCCCTCACCAGGATATTTTTTCCT